ACCCGATGGCACCCCCTGCTGACTGTGGCTGGAACTGCACCAAAGGGTGCTAAAAATTGAACTATTTAATTACCCCTTTTTTGCCGGTTTATCGGTTTTGTTCTGGAAGGGGATTATTGGTGGGTATAGGGGTATTGCTTGGTTGTTTTACTTGGTTGTTTGGGGTTTTTTTGTGTTCCTGTTAATACACACATACCTTTTAATAAAGGGCTGTTATTTTTCCCTTTTCCACAATTTGTTTTCCTTCAATCAGAGCCTCTTAATTTTGGATTTATAATTGCTTAGAAAAGGAAGTTTGGGTCTCTTTCTCCTAATCCATCCTCAGCAAAAGACCTTTGTCTCATTTAAACTGGGACATGTAGTTGCCAAGCCACTCTCCATGATATTTGCAAAGCCATCATAGTCAGGTGAAGTTCCAGGTGACTGCAAAAAAAGAAATATCTTTAAAACGGTAGAAAGGAGGACCATGGCAACCTGTCATCCTCACCTCTGTGCCTGGGAAGATCCTGGAACAGATCCTCCAAGAATCTCTGCTAAGGCACATGGAGGACAGGGAGGGGATTCAAGACAGCCAGCACAGCTTCACCAGGGGAACATCCTGCCTAACCAACCTAGTAGCTTTCTATGATGGACTAACTACAGCGGTGGATAAGGGAAGATGTAATTTATCTGGACTTCTGTAAAGCCTTTCAAACAGTTCCCCACACCAGAGAGATGGATTTGATGAGTGGACTTGGATTAGAAATTGGTTGGACAGTCATATCCAGAGGGTCGTGGTCAATGGCTCAAAGTACTGATGGACATCAGTGACCAGTGGTGTCTCTCAGGGGCCACACTGGGACCACTGTTACTGACTATCTTCATTAATGACATAGGCAAAGGGATCAAGGGCATCCTCAGCATATTCCTGGAGTTCCAGAGGGATTCATAGAACAGAGCAACTGTATTGAGATTCTCTGACAAAACTGTCAATGTAATAGATTTCCAAATCCTGTTACTGGTTCTTTTGCTGATACTTTTGTTGCTTTTGTTCTGGGGAGAGACAGTGTGATATTTCTTTTTCAGATTATCAGAGATCCACAGTCCTCTGCAATCCATATGGGGAACACACCAGCTGCACTTATTTAAAACTTTTTCTTTATGGGCTTTTATAAAGCAATTATTTCCTCAATTTGCATCAGCATTTAGCAGGTGACAGCAGCCTGGTTCAAAAAATAGCATGTCAGAAGAAAATGGCTCCTCTTCTCCACGTATGATAACAAATCTTCAGTGTCTCATTCAATGGTGTTTTACTCAGGTGCTGATTATCTGCTATGCTCAGTGGACATTCTCTGTCTCAGATTCATCAGCAGAGCGTTAGTACATGGGACAGATGTCAGAATTCACTGACAAAGGTGTTATAAGTAACACACCTTGGGATTTATTGTGTAAATTTAAGGAACTACATGGATATGTCGATAAAACATTCCTCAGAATGTGTCACATAAGTGCACTGAAGGGGCCCAGGAGTATTTTCAGGGCATTTCACTGTAAGATTAACTGTTGGATGTTTTTTTCCAATTTGTCATTTCCTTTTCTCACATTTTATTTTTCATCCTGATAATGCCCTCTGAAATTTCTTGGTTGCCTTTTCCTCCACTGGTTCCTTGGCCCTGTGCTATTTTCAGTAAGTGCAATCATAGTATCATGTGACTGTGGTAATCATCAAGCTGTGCAAACAGGCAGAGTGTGACCTGGCAGCTCAACAGCAGAAGGACTGATGTCCTTGTGTTTGCTGCTTTACCCCAGTCACTGAGGCTCAGCGTTCCCAAGCAGACTTTGCTGGACAGCTCTTCTTCACACTTGTACCTGTCAGTACTTTGGCTGCTGGTTGATGACTGTCAGTATTCTGAGTGAGTAGAATACTCACTGCCCCTTAGAAGTTTCTTTAGATCTTTAAACGTGAAGCATAGCACAGATTGAATGTGTTCCCTAATAATAACTAGAAATGCTGGGTTTTCCAAATGAGCTGCATTCCTCACAAAATGGAGCTGATGAGTTTACAAGTTTCCAGACTGCACAGAGGTGAGTGGCAGAATGTCCCTTATCCCTGCTTCTGTGTGTATCCAGGGGGGCTTTGATTGAGTTCACAGTTCCATTTTCACATCCACTTCAGGGGGGCAAATACTGTGATTCCTGGTGTCTTCTGAGTGAGGTTAAAGGTAGACCATAAGAGTGACTCCAAGCCCTGCTTCTCAGGGCTGCTGTCATTCCATTCTCTGCCCAGCCTGTATTTGTGATTGCCCTGTCACACCTGCAGAACCTTGCATTTGGCCTTGTTGAACTTCATGAGGTCCACATGTGCTCTCCTCTCAGGCCTGTTAAGGTCCCTGTCTCAAGAACTCCTCCCTCCAGCACGTCAACCACACCGCACAGTTCTTGGCCTCACACATTAGCTAAGCTTAACTTTACTCCTTTGGTCTCCAATTCCAAATTTTTCATGTGTTTCTCCCAGCTTTCCTAGGGAAGTCCAGTGGTGCTGTTACTGGGGCAAACCAAACATCTCTTGCATGAAAACAATGGGATTCAACAACTGTGTGTATATACCTGTGTCTCCTTGGGCTACCTCGTTTGGTAGCTGTGTTATGACTGGTAGCCTCCTCTTGGATGGATTTGAAGATCTGTGGAGGAACAGGGGAGGGTCTGTGGGTGTGGTACATTTACCCCCTGTGAGCCAGGCCATGGGTGTGCACACACCCATCAGTCCCCCAGAGAAGGCCTCTTAGCAGGGGGACCTCAAACACCTCCCATCCAAGCCCTTTAACGACTGTGCAAACCCCAGCACCTCTAGCCTCTGCAAAACCAGCATAACTGCAAAAACAGCACCCCCACACATGGGAGAGGAACCAGGAGGCATCTGAAGTATATAAACCCATTGGGCTCTTATGATGTGGGCTTCTTTCCCCCATGGCTCCCCCACAGACCACGTCACCAGGGACAATAACTAACTTCATCAGAGACCTCTGGGTGGTAAACATAAACTCTTATTTTTTCTCTTTCTTTCTGTCTTTTCCCTTACACCTTTTAACTCTTATTCTCTCTTTCTCTCTTTTCCCATACCCATTTTCTTGGGTGATATCTTTATGCCTTTATATTGCCATATAACTGTAAATAATAACCAAAATGGTTACACACCTGTTTTCCTTTGCAACCAAATTGTACTAAAGTAAACTCTCTCTATATACGTATGTGTATATATATATATACATGTAAACACTGATCATAAAGTATTGATATGCTTTAATTCACCTCAGGGGATTTATTAGCAGAAAACCGAAAGTTACTTTTGCCTTGTGGGGCAGGCCATAACAGAAGTGGAGGCTGAAATCCAGTCTCCCAAATGGTAATAGGCTTTTTACCCTCAAGTGCTGTCCTGGGTGCCCTTGGTTCCTGGAATAGAGTCATGCCATTGGGAAACATTGTGTTCCTTCCTTTTCCCTGCTTTTCCTTGTTTTATCAATAACTTGAATAACACAGGCCCTGGGTATAAATAACTCTTTCATTCTGTGTATTTTCAGGATTCTGAGTGAGAAGCTTCCTTCTTATCCCATAGCTTCATCCCTTCTGGAAGGGCCTTTGTTGGGATACCTTGCTGAAAGGTTTTGGAAATCCCAGTCGATTATATCAGCTGGATTTCTCTGCCCACATGCTCATCTATCGTCTCAAAGGCTTCTGGGTTGTTTCCCATATAAGACTGATTTGAATTTAACAGAATACTCCCTTTGGAAGGACATAAACTATCTGTCCACAGTTCCCCGTACCAGTTCTCTCCGTGAGGTGTTACATATGCTTGGGCCAGTGCTCACTGGGAATTCCCAAGCTGTGGCTGTGGCAGTGAACTCCAGCCCTGTGAGCTCTGCTCCAACAGGCAGTGACTGACACTGAACATGAGGGCTTTCTGCTGCTGCTCTCAAGTCCTCTTGTCAGTTTATATGGATCTCTGCTCAGGCCCAGAGCTGCCATGTATCAGCCCAGCCTCTTTGTTAACAGCTTCTGCACAATGAATGGAAAATCAGTAGTATAGGTGGGAAATGACTGCTACTAATGAACTGTGTTTCCCTTCCTCTAATGGGATACTGCAAGCTGTATCTGCTCACTGTCTGCTCTGACCTCTCCTGCCATAGGCAAGTGAGAAAAACTCTGATGAAGGCTGTTGGTTTTACATTGTCAGTAGGGAAAAGGACCCTGTTGAACAGCTGGGATTTCTCACCAGGAAAGAAAGATTCCCCCAGGTAGGGCAGAGTTTTAGTGTGCTAGAAACTCAGCTTTTATAGACACTGATCTGATTTATAGGAATTAAAGAATTATCATAGAACTGTCACCAACCTTCTCCAGTTTTAGTCCAAGGGGATGTGATACTCTGCATGGTCTTCAAATCAAATTCAAGAAAAAATAGTGGAGACTAAAGAACACCTTCTGTCAGCTTCACAAAAACACACAGTCTCTTGTGGTTATCAGCCCTCCACAGTTCTGTCTTGGACAGAGGCCAGTAGGAGGAGCAGCTCTCATCTGACAGCTGGAAGGTGCTGAGGTGCTGTATGGGTGAATATAAGATGTTGTCTGTGATACAACAGTAGGAAGACTGAACTCATTCGAGTCACAGTCAAGAATTCTTGTCCTTGATTTCTCTTCATGTGATGTTAAATTTCTATTCATACCTCAGTTCCTAAGAAATAAAGAAGGGACAAGTAATAAGGAACTAGATGACTAAAAGCTGTATGGTGACGTGGGTGAACAGAGGTATTATAAGGCAAGACTGTGACTAAAGACTAATGGTGATACAGATGTAACCTTTAAAACAAGGAGCAAATGAAAACACTGCTCACGGTGTTCACAGAAAGGAATCTACTGGTTTTATCATCTACACATTGAAATGCCTACAAAGACTAATGATTGAAGGAAGTGGCAGAGGGTTCACATTTTGTGCAGCCCTCAGGTCACTTTGTTGCCTCATGGCATCCTCACTCTTCCTCTTCTATCTTCTTCCCATGAAACTCCCGGCTCTTCACTCGGAGCTTGTTGACCTGGGACTCTGCAATGTCAGCCCGTTCCTCGGCTTCCTCCAGCTCGTGCTGGATCTTGCGGAACTTGGAGAGGTTGACATTGGAGAGCTCCTCCTGTGTGGGGAGAAGGAGTTGGTGGTGAAGAGCCCAGAGCAGGGATTTCACTCCTCCTGCACCTCGGCCTTGTGGGGCTGCAGCTCTTCCCTGGGGGAGGCACAAACCTCCATCCCCCTCCCACCACTGCTCACACGTCAGCTCACCCCGACCTCCTCATCCTGCCCTTCCCAGCACCCCTCTGGGAAAAGC